AAATTTTTTAAAATGTACGTAATTTTTGTAAAAAAATATTGATGACGATGGATATTCTCATATCATAAGTTATTCAGGATGTTAATGTATTTATGGGATACGTTTGAAAATTTGATTCTAGATGTTGAAATATAAAAATTGATGATTAAATGAAATGAGATGGAAATAAAGTGAGCGGTCTCTGTCTATGTCACACTATCGTCTTGCTTTAATTCTGTCCCGTTTCATTTAATGCAAATTGCTTATTAAATAAGCTTAATGAATAAGTTTCAATTGATATAATTTTTGTATTTCTTTTGCTCTCCAATATATTCTACGAATATATTAAAACTTTTTTTATATGATAATAATAATTTATCCATTCAAAGAAATATAGTTTGAAATGTTTCTGGATTATTTCAAGTATTCATATTTTAAAATAAATCATGAATCAATCAATTAATAATTATAATAGATCATTGAGATTCTTATCTTGATTTATGAGCTATTAATATATTAAAATAATTTAATAATTTAAAATATTTTGTTACGTTTTTTTAAACATTTTCTTGTTTTAACAATCAAAAAGATTTTTAATATCTTAAAAACTACTTTACGTATAAAATTGAAATAAGATATCACGTGTTAATTATTATTTTATATTGTTTTTAACTTATATTAAAAATCAAAGATTAAAAATAAGATTAAATATTAAGAAATTCTTTAAAATATTGTTTATAACGAAAAATTGTCTTGACTCTTTTGATCCTTTGCAGATGAACAATGACCATGGCTATCTTAAATATTTCACTGCCATCAGAAACAATAATCAATAAAGATGAGAGGAATGGCACTTATTTTTTTACTAGAGCAATAGGATCCCATTTAAATATTGCCGCTCATTTAAACACTTTTTCTAGTAATTATCTATTAATTATTTGATTATACACGACGTAAAGTGGAATAGAAGAATAAAAGACTGCCTTCGAGTAGATTAATTTATAACGAAGTGAAACAGGGCCGTCTTTAAACTCTTTATTTATTTATTAAAGGAAAAAAGTAGATGAACAAAGTTTCTTTCTTTTCTGAATGATGAAATATAAAGAAGAACACGGGAATAAAAAGAATAAAAATTGAAAAGTTTAAATATTTTAATTTTTAGGAAATTTTAAACGAATTAGGGACTTTTTATAATGATCTAAAGGTCACTAATTTAACTTGAATAAATTAAAGACAGTCCTGAAAAAATATTTTTATCATTGTCTTTTTTTTTTATTTCTTTTCATTTCTTTTCTCCTTTTTCATTTTTCTTTTCTTTCTTTTTTTTTTTACTCGTAATTAGATATTTAAGATAACTGAACTGACCGGTAAATATTTCTTAACGCATTTATTCTCATACGTACACTAGAACGATTTTAGAGAATAATAATTCCCTAGATTATTAATCGGATGCAATAATTCTGTTAAACTCGTTGTCGTATCAAACGAACGAGTATGCGTTCTCATTCATACGTGTACGTGACAGTGATCACAGCGACGACGCTTACACTTCTTTCATTTTTTTAAACGTGATATTGCTGTTTGTATTAAAACTTATTATATTTGATAGATATACAATTTTTTGTACATAATAAAACGTTAAGAGCGTACGTTAAGCCTGTAAAAAAATTGTAATTGTTGTAAACGAAATAAAATTCGAACGATCACCATCCAACTTTGGATTCATTCCATCCAATTATTCAAATTGTATAATTTCAATTTTGTTTCGATGTAAATATTATGTAATGATGATACAATAAGATTAATTCTTAAGCAATCCAAAAATTCCGAAACGATCGAGTTATAATAGTGATCGAGTTAAATATATCTCTTGAATTGAACATTATAACATGTTTCAATTATATCTATTTTATATTAAAATTTAAATATTCTTTTAGTTAACATATTTATTATCGATTATAAAATAATTAAAATTACAAAATAAGAATTTTTAATTAGTTCTTTCAATTAATGTAAAATTAAATAATGTTAAACTCCTATATATTGATATAAGTGTTAAGTCAACTATAGGAGTGTCTAATTACTTCTTGGATTTTTTTGAATTTTATGCATTTACAAAATCATTAAGCACTAATGTCAAGCATATTTTTCAAAAATGTAAATATAGAGAATGATAAGAAATATAACTAAAAAACCACTTGTGCAGATTATTTAATTTAATAAATTAAATTTAATAGCATATTTTGGAACAAAAGACCCTGTTTCTAATGATCTAACAGGAAATTAAAAACTTTCTATTCTTTTATTTGATTCTAGAATTTATTCAAATCATAGATACATGAAACTAGAAGAAAAAAAATTTTATACAAAGTTTATGTACAATATGTATATTTAATTCTGCATTAAGAAATATGAAAATTTGATTATTTTTATCTTACATAATATTTTTGAATTTATAAGAATCATTTAAAATATTTAAATTCTTACTTCAAAGTCAATTTTCATAATCTCTAATGCAGAATTTGCTGTATTTAATATCTGATGGACAAACTTTGTATAATAATTTTTATTCTTAGATTATGCTTCTATAGTTTAGGAATTATCCTGTACAATTATAATGTGCTCGTTTGTCGAAGAGCTTCTGTCATGCACATGATATAAGTTGCCATCAGGTAATCATTAATTGCACGATTTATCGTCCATCCTTGATAAAATCCTTCTGGAACCATTGCCCAATTTGCCAGAAGTAAAGGATAATTTGCCACTATCGCGTAATTGTTACCTACTATAAGTCTGAATGGCACGAGAAATTAATCATCTGTTTAATTAATTAGAAATAAATCATTGCACTTACGCAAAACATCCCCCAACAATCACCCAATTGAAAACATTAAATTTTGATATCGTTTTTGTCTGTTGTAAAGTATTATAGAAACGTGACGTTTCCATTTCCTGAAATTTAAATTCAATCAAAAAATTCAACGAAAAATTAAAATATACGGTATATGTCGTCTTCTATTCTTTTAATAAAAAATTAAATAAAATAAAAAGTGTTAACAAATTCAAAATTCGTAAAATCGTTAATCCTCGATTATCCTTTTTCAATCGAAACGATTTGATGTTGAAAAAAAAATATTTTAAATATTTATTTATATTAAAATATTAAATATTTTAAATATTTTAAATATTTATTATATTTTAAAAAAATTTGAACAATTTCTTGATGAAGATGTGATATATCGATTTAATTGTTACAAACTTTTTTTTATTGCAAATATTTTGCATTCGATAATATTGTTATATTTTTCGATTAGTAATTGATTGAAAATTGAAATAAAATTTGAATAATCTATTGCGACAATCGAGGGTTAAATTTTAAAAAAATTAAATTAAAAAATTAAAAATATAAAAAAATTAAACTAAAAAATTAAAAAATTTTTTAAAAACGAATACCTCTAATTCTTTTATCATGTAGTACAATTTGATCACGTTGAAAACTGATAAGCTAGTTACAACGCAGATACCGAGTATGTAATATCCGTGACAACAATATAGAGAATAAATTAATCCCGTCATACTCAAAGTACCAAGCAGCTCGTCTAAAATATTAAATCGTTCTTTGTTCCTCTCTTCTTCTATCTCTATCATATCTGGATCAAAGGCTGAAACATAAAGATTAAATTTTTTTAATAGAAAATAATGCTTGAAAGATAAATCTCTTACAGTATTCCTTAATGAAAAGTTTGTACAAAAGAACGATCAAGGATCGAGAACCAATCATCGCGATACTGACACAGGCACACGTCAAATGTGTGAAAAATTTCGAATATTGTGTATAAGAGTGTCTTATCAGAATATAAATGGAAGATCCACATGTTAGAAGTAGATTCGTGCAGGAAAAAATGGACTCCAATATCATAGCATTACTTTTATTAAAAGTAAATGTAAGAAACAATTTTTTATATTCGTATTACTTTTGTAAATAAACACTGCACTTAAATTACGTTATATTATTAAGCTCTAAATCGTCAAAATTACGAAGAGGATAATTATTAATGATTAATATATTATCAATATTAATATCGAATTATTGTCATTAAGGTATGTTTAAAAGTAAATGTCAATTTTGTTTCACATAATTTCACATAACCTTTTAACTATTCATTATTTTAGTTAGAATGATCAAGCATTAAAGAATTAATGACAGCCATTGATCGATAAAATTTTTTAATTTAATTAATTTTGATTAATCCTTATGTTGAATATAAATAATGAATTTACTTTCATTTCATTAATTATTCCAAAAACGAAAATAGAAAATAGAAAAATAAAAAAAAATGGAAAAAATAATAAAAAAGAAATAAATTATTTATTAGAATGAAATTATTATTTATATTAATTTTGTACATAATATAAATACATGTAAACATGCAAATAATAATTTCATTTTAAATAGTTATATAATGTAATATAATAAAATAATATTATATAATTATCATATAATGTATAAATTTTTTATTTATTTTCGTTTATTTAATTATTTGAAAAATTTTCTTTGAAAATTATGTATTTTATTTGATTAAAAATTTTCATGCTTTATACCAGCTATTTCATTTACTTTATGCTATGTAAAACTCATCATTACATAAAAACAAATTAAAATTATTTTCTTCTTCAAAAACTTCATATAACTTCATATTCATAATAAAGCAGACTTTTATCTCAATATAATTGATATATTTGAACCACATGAAATTGTATTTAAAAGTACATCGATATATTCAATGAAATGAATTAATTCGTAAATCGAAAATGCAAATCGATGGAATATGCGTTCGACTTGCACTAAAACGTAAAGATACGTTTGCGTGACGAGATAAGTTCGTTTTGATGCGACGATGATTCGCTATAGAATTGATAAGGATGTGTTAAAAAAGTGCGAGATAATCAATGAATGTGCGTGATATGACGCTATGCAAAATATATTCCTTATTGTGACTTGTAAATTGATTGCGATATATATGGTAATAGCAGCAGATAACGCTTGTGCAACTGTCGACAAAATTGATAATCACTCTATTTATTATAACAATAGCACTAAAATGGATAATATTTCTGTAAGTACACTTCTGTGTCGAAAAACCCAAAAAAGCATTGCCATAAATATTTAATAGTAAACCATTTTTGGTAACGTCGACAACTATTAATGTCAAAGATCATAACCAATTGGCAATTGCGATTAATGTTAATCATGACTGAATTGTTACTATCATTAAGTAATGTTGTGTATTATAGAATGTTAATTTTTATACTACGGAAACAGTGAAAGTATTGCAAGAAATTATTTTAACAAATAATAAGCAAGGAGATATATATGAAGCCGAATGCACTGATTTGTCGGCGATCCTTAAACAATGGCGGAAAAAAACAATATTAAAGAATAACAGTAATATAGTGGAAGAAAATTTCAATCGGACGTCTAAAAAAAATTTAGGTTTAGTAAATATAGAAGAGGCACGGTACAAATCGAAGTCTGTTCCTATGAGAAATCATGAAGTCAGTTATCCTTATCCTTTCACAGATTATATTCATCCACGCTTTTGCGCCGATTTTTCATCTATAAGTACTTATAGCAAGCCGCATCATCGATTAGTCAGAAATCTGAAATCAATTACAGTTAATTATGAATCGCATTTAAGGCACGCTCATGAGAAATTAAAAAGATCAACTAAATCAGAAAACATATCCTTTCGTACCAAGAGAAAAAAGATGAATCAAAGTTTTTCAATTGATAAAAAAGTTAAATTAGAAAATCAATGGAATAAAACATTTTTATTGCCAAAGTTGGTAGAAGCATCACAGATACAAAATGCCAATGAAACTACGTCCTCATTCACAAGTCAGACATTAGCTCTGCATCACATATTGAAATTAAGTTTAATTCCAAAAAAAACAACTGGTTTCGTTAAAAAAAGGAGAAAAAAAAATACTAGAATCAAAAGAGATATAGATGAAATAACACCAGATTATTTTAAGAAAGAACTTACTGCGTATCAAGAAGTGATAAAATTAGTAACAGAACCATATATTGAATCACAATTAACATATAATACTGAACATCAAAATGAAATAGATATATTACAGACAACATTAAGTTGGCAAGATGAACAAATAGATATTGCAACACCTACAACAACTATAGAAACATATAGATTCCGTACACCAGAAAGAATGCATATAAAAATACCAATACCATTTTGGACTGAGATAGAAACTACAGTCGAAACCACAACGAGAACGGTATATACTACAACTACCACTGAACTTACTACAATAAAAGAAACAACTATAACAACAACAACATCACCAGAAACAACAACAACGGAAACCACAACTATCACAACGCCAGAAACTACAACAGAAACAATAAAAATAATTACAACTACGGTGGCTCCTACTACAACTGAAGAAACGACTGTAAAAACAACAACACCATTAGAAACAACAATCACCACAACATCTGTGCCAGAAACTACAACGAAAAGTCCAACTCCACCAACCACTACAACTACTGTAGTTCCTACTACAACTGAAGAAACAACTCTAACTACAACAACGTCGCCAGAAACAACAACTACAACAACAACAATTACTACAACATCTACGCCAGAAACAACAACGGAAACTACAACTCCGCCAACCACTACAATTACTATAGCTCCTACAACAATTGAGGAAACGACTCTAACAACAACAACATCTCCAGAAACAACTACAACAACAATTACTACCACAACACCTATGCCAGAAACTACAACAAAAAGTCCAACTCCGCCAACCACTACAACAACTATAATTCCTACCACAACTGAAGAAACAACTG